AATAGATTATGAAACTAATTATAAGAATCATCCCATGGGAAAATGCTGTTGTTCTGAATAGTGTATGATAAGATGGGATTTGGAAGGTTGGACACTACAGGACACTAGACAGAACTAAAGATATGGTTTAATGCACTACACCATTGCATAGTCAGATGTCTACCAGATTCAAACCCTCTACCTGAAATTGAACTAACAGAAATTGAAATTATTTTGTAATTTAGATGACTCTATACTTTAAAACTGACATTGGCGCTGGAGAAGACTTTTGAGAATGGGCAGCCAAGAAACCAAACAAATGGATCATTGAATAAATCAGCTCAGAATTGTTTTAACTTGAGGCACAAACGACTGGGTTTTAGACTCAGTATCAAAGATCTAACTGTGCAGAAAGCTTTAATGCTGGGAAAGGTAGAAAGAAAGAGAAGAAGAGGACAACTAGGGGCAAGGTGAATGGACAATGATTAGTGCACTATTGGAAGATCTGAAGGACCAATTTAGGGACAGATCATCATGGAGAAAATCTATTTATGTGATCACTAGGAATTAACAATATTTTGATGGCCGATTATCAGTCAATGAAAAGGTCTTGGTCTTCAGCATTTGCAGGAAGCGATATCTAGAAGCATTATCAGAATGGTGCATAGAGTCCACCTTCAGTTAAATTCCCAAAGCAAAGAGATACCGATCTTATGTCACAACCTCATTTAAAGGGTTTTACGTGACTTCTACCCCCTCCACTTTTACATGGCTTCCAGGGGGTGGAAGTCATGTAAAACTCCAAACTTGGAGGTATATGACATCTGACGATATACAAAAATAAAAGTTCACCCAACTTCCTTAATTTGATTATTGAGTGAATCCATTTTGTAAGTTTACACTTTCATTATACATTATACAGTGGGTCACAAAATGTTCTAAGCATCAATTTTCATTTGCTGTGCTCTATTTTTTTTTACTTACTGGTTAACAATATTATGAAAACCCCAATACATAATACATAACCATTCCTAAAATAATTAAACATATACTGTATATAAAAAGTAGCCCATTTTTTAAAAAAGGGTTGAGTCTTACATCTAAAAGTAGGGTTGCATATGTGATTTTACCAAAACGTATCATATGAGTAAGAAATCAATATAACACACAGGTTACTCAGATATAGAAATATGGGTACTATAAACTAGAAGGCAACACAGTATACCACTTTCAGAACACCTTAAAGCCCAGCCCCACCTGGAGCAGGATAGAAGCAAACCTAAAGAAACCTCTTTTCTACTGTACTAGAGTGATAGTGTCCCTGACGGCAGAAATTATATGGCTTGTTCTCAGGAGAATTTTAATGATCCTTAATAGAAAAATTGGATCGTATATTTGAATGTAGAAGCTTGCAGTCCTTATAAATAAAGCATAGGATGCTAGAAAATCGACTTCTTGTTTCAAGAACCTGGTCCTGTATACTTGGTATTGTCCATGGTACACAAAAAAGAAGAGTAATGCTGCCTTTGTAATGCTTTTGATACACAAGGGAAGACTAATACCCCAGAGGGGTGATGCTGTCTTTCTACACTGAGAGTATACTTACATCTATTCTATACCATCTGCATTAAATCCTCTTTCCCACATTCCTAGGTATAACAATGGATCCATCTCTTCTCAGAGAAACCGGCATATAACAGTCTCTTATCTCTTACTATTTTATAGGGTTGAATGTTTTTACCTGTATGATTCCTCTGCCCCTGCTGCAAAAAAGCAGGCCTTTACGACAACAGTGGGTAATTTAAAAGATGTTGGCAGTCATCTGCTGGCAGTAACACTGCTGCCAACAAATAATTAACATGCATGTGTGAACTGATTGCTCTACTTGCCTTTCTTTCTGTGATGCCTACTAAAATAGATAGGCACATTTAAACAGCAATTGCATTATGAGACAATGCTAAGCATCCAAGTTCCCTTCATTACTTCCCTTGCAAATTGTCAGTCCTTTGCTTGCATTTTGCTAGTCTGGTGCAAACAGCTGGCTATGTTACAGGACCTACTGCACTGATGAACAATTATACATTTAGGAATGCAAGGTCCTCTGTTACTGCAGTGGGGTCCAGTCATCAGAACATATTGTAAAGTATTAAGGAAACCACTGACATGTTATGAAAGAAATGAAGAAATTGGGAAGTTTCTTAAAATAAGAGCAAATAATTTGCTTAATTTCATTGCAGCAAAAAAAAAAAGGGGGGGGGGGAGACTTGGCTTTAATACTTTAGGAAAATAACACATTTATTTCTCTTATGATCAGAGCCATAAAGAGAAACTCTTTCCTCCTAGAGGTGATGGGCTCCCTTTCACTGCATATTTTGAATCAGAAGCTGGGCAAAACTTTGGGAAAGTTTTAATTCTGATTCTTGCCTCGAATGGATGGGGGGTCTCTGTTTCCTAACTCTGATTGTAGGACTCTTTCTTTCATGACTGCTGTAGTAAACAAGTGACCTAAAGACCATAAAGGACTGCCACTCAGGACTGTCTTGATGCATGGGCCTGATGGGCACTTGCCCGTGGGCCCCACGAGCATACGAGTCTGTGTATGTTAACCCTTCAATGCACCTTGTATCATATAAATACAGCAATGTATTTATTACATTTTACTGCATTTTTTATTAACAGTAACATGCAAATATATGTTTAATTTTATCGACCACCTACATTTTTATTCATGTGAGTAGTTGTCGTGGGGGACCCCCAGTACACTGTTTTGCCTGGGGGCCCCATAATGCCGTTAAGAGACCCCTGCTGCAGCTCCATGGCAAAGCTCATGTGGTATCAGCGGAGGGTGCCCTATTCAAAGCCCAATGCCCAGATCAGGTAACAAATGATGGAGGGGAGGCCCTCGGGAGTTGCTGGCAGCTGGAGAGAGAAACAGCTTGATCTGCTGCACATACAAGGGGGCAAAGGTGGCATAACCAACAGCTGAATGATAGACAACACATGGCTTTCCTTTTCAGGACCCATCTACTATAAATGTATTATATATTTCATCAACAATCCACCCTCTTCTTTATATTTCTTTCAGCTGTAAGCAGCTTCTGCTAGATGACAGAATTTATTTTCAGGCAATTTTTTTTTTCAGCCAGGGGAGGTAAGGAGTGATCATGTGTCAGAATGCTTATATGGCATCTCTAAAGCACTAGGTGGTCTCTGGTGGGTTCTTGCAATGCAACATCTCACATTTCCATTTAACACCACTTTTTTTTTCATTTTGCTTTTTATTAGGCAAAAAAGCTTTTTCTTTTCAGTCCAGAGCTATTGTTTAATTTAAGGCAGAGAGGTGTGGGAAGTAATCCTCAAATAGATAACATAGTGCAAACCTATATTTTAGTTTGCACTTGAGGACAGAGACAGGAATTCAGGGTAGTGAATAAGGGGTTGTCATTGAAACAGTCCAGCAACAGTTCAGGGCATGGCTGCTAACTCTTAGAGTGGGCGATAAAAGCACCCTGCTTTGTCACCCTCGTGGGCTCCTACTGTATTTCCTAGAGCCCCGTTAACCATGAAAGCTCTTTCTCACAGCTCAAGATCAGGGTTTATTCAGCACATGCTTTTCAAGTGAAGGAGGCCATGCAGTAAGAGAAAGAGCCTATTCAGTGGTGGCCACCAGCTGTAGAACAATCTACTCAGAGAAGCAGATCCATTTTGGTTCATTTTGGCACAAGACAAAAAAATTTTTTTGAAAGCCCTCCTAATCCATGGTAACATCAAAAATACCTCTGCAACTGTTCTAAACATTTCTTCTTGTTTTTATTATTATTGATTATATTTAAAAAAACATCCTTCTGTTCAGCTGTCCTATAAATAGCCAGAAGCATGGAAAGGGCACAGAGTTTTTAAAGGCAACCTATAGCTTTCCTCTGGACTGACAGGAACACAGTGTTCAAGGGACATAGTTTGTGCTAATGGTGCTGATACTTTCTCTGATGTAAGACTGCAATGGTTCTGAGGGTGTAAGAACAGTTTTGCCACCTTCCTGAATGTATTCTACAAAAACGGAAAGTATATTACAATAAAACGGCTGTAGTCCATTTCTCTCCAAATGAATAGTGTTCTGGCTCCTTGAAAGGTATATAGGACTTAATTCAGCAACCTCTCCCCAACTTAATGCCTAACCTACCCACCTACCCACCCTGTTTTGGATTTAATCACAATAATTCCCCACAAACATGTCTGGGACTTCATAAATCCAACCATATTATGGAGGTGGGGTGAGTACTAGTTTAGCAGTGTGGTGGAAATCAGGTCGAACTGGGGACACAACCAAGAGATATATTAGCGGAGAGCGGGTTCTTGATCTGGATGGTTGAAAAATGCATTAAATGCTAAAGACATCATAATAAATACAAAACTCACACATTTAAAGGATTCAGCCTATCTTGCTTGAGGATAATCTGACTCACTTTTCCTGCTGGCATAATTGCACGGTATGCACAAAATCACCACAAAGACGCGGTAACCGCACAGCGATTCTACCACCAGGGAACTAGCTTCAACTCCTCTCCCGCCAACTCTTATTGCAGAATTGCATGCGTTCTGTTTTGACAGACAGCAAGCAACCAAACCCATCAGGTTTCGTATAAACAAATTGAGGGGAAAACCAGCGAAAGTGGGAAGACCAAATATTGCAGGCGCGAGGAGGGCCAGCCTTCCGCGACCTCCAGCTCACGCTGGCTGCAAAGCAGGCAAGTGATGCCCGCTCGCTCACCAGTTTCCAGGAAAAGAATTCAAACTACAACAGAGGAACGGCAATCTGCATTGCAAGCGGGGGGGAGGGGGAGAGAGAGAGAGAGAAGGGGGGGTATAATGTCTCTGTCCTTGGCAGATGGTCTTACCCAGTGTGCATTGTTCCTTTAGTGTCTCCTTTATCCACTGTAATTGGATCCTGGAGGGAGCCAGCGAGCAAGGGAGGGACGGAGGGAGGCTGGGCGAGATCGCTGGGGGCGGAGGGGAGGCAAAATAGTCCCGAGGCTTTGGCCTGCGCCTCCCTCGCCTGTCAAGCGCTTGATTTCATTGTTCCAGGCTGATGTCACTCCCAGTTGTTACAGACGCTTCTTCGGGTAACAATGTGGGACTAGGAGGCACAAAGGACCTTTCTGGAGATACCCCAAAGGTAAGAGGGAGAGAGAAGTAACTGCGTCGGAGTTGGGGATGCTAAAGGAGCCGGGCGTCTTGGGGGAGCGAGCCCGGAGCAGCACGCGCACCCCGGGCACCGTCGCCTCCAAAGCAACTTTAAGCAGCTGCAGGAGTCGCTCGCTCACTGCCGCCTCATGCAAAACGCGCGGCCCCTGGGAAGGCGCGCGGCTCGGCTCGGCCGGCGGGAATTCTAGGGAAGGAAGGAGGGGGAAAAAAAGTTTGGCCTCCCACCTGCCTGAGCCCCGTGTTTCCGCGCCAGTTTTGGACCGAAGTTGGAATCTTTTCTTCAGGGAGCGGTCAAGACGGGGTCCGGAGTTGCGGCACTGGAAGTGGGTAGACTAGTTGTCGGTGCCCGGTTTTCCTCCACGCATACCGCGACGCGCCTTCCCACCCCGGCGCTGTTAGCTCTCCGGTCCTTGCGGGGTTCGGATCCACAGCGCGTTTCAAAATCCGATGCCTGGAAGATCGCTCCCTCTCCCCCCCCCCCCCCCCCGCCCCGAACTCTTTAATGAGTAAATCCAGCGGCCTAATCTGGCGCTGCGTCTTCGCAGAACTTTGGCAGGTGCGACCGGTCGCACTTACTTCTCACGTTCTCAGAGGAGGGGAAAAAGTGTTGAGTTAATTGGGGCGGTTGGAGTCCAAGAAAGGACTATGATCCCTCGCCGAAATTCGACAGTTCGGTCTTGATCTTAATTCCTAGCTCTGGTCTGCATGTACCAAATCTCGCTAACGCTCGGGGATCTTTCATCCTTCTTGTGCCACTCTGTTCTCGGCACCTGCTCTTTTCCTCCTGGTTGTTCCTCTCAAAGGCAGACTTTTCTGGGTCAGAACCTTCACTCACCCACCCCCGTGGGTCTCTTTTGATTTTATTAGCTTCCTGCCCTGCTTTATCTGCGTGGTTCCTCCTTTCTCTCACTGGCCAACTTCTTAAATTGTCTGGTGGCACAGATAAGTCGTTAGCACCTTTCAACTAACTTCAGGGCTGTGCCTTTTTCCATAGCTTGTGGTTGCTTACACCTGCCTGTGGACACACACACACCGCACCTCCCAATTCCTATATTTGTTGCCTGTTCATCTTCCTTCCTGTCCTGAGCTTAGAACTGGCATGGCCTATTTCTGTGCTCAGATTGCTATTGTGGTGAGGCCCTTGGGGACAGCTTGGGTGATGAATCTCTACCCAGCTCATTCCATTTGTCACACAACCTCTGTTTCCAGCACCTGCCCCCACCCCCCCTGCACTTTTGGCAGCAGATTGCATTTGTTCTGTACACATCCTTTTGTTCCCCTCCATTACAGAATGCTAGCCCTCTTCCCAATCATTTCTCATCCTCTTTATTAAGAGAAATGGGGGGGGGGGGAGAAACAATTATGATAACCAAAAATAAGGATGAAGATGGTATTGGTCTGGAGGGGAAGTTTGAGGGGGAGGAGAACTTTGTTTCAGCCAGCCTTGGGTTAAGATGTTGCCAAGAAGGGTATATAGTATTTTAGTTTTTGGCTATAAACTCTTTTTTACTAGCAGGTGATGTTCTTTCCGCCTGGTGTATTAAGAATGCCACTCCCACAATTCTCAGCCATGCTGGAGAGGGCCACCAATGACCTATCACCATACAAAGTAGCTTATTGTGTCATGTGACCACTCTAGGGCATTCTGTGGGGATAGATTTGTCTCCCCAAATCCGTCTGACAATATTGTGGGGGAGGCCCTGATATGAGGTCCTAAACATACTTACTTAAAAATAAGTCCCTAATAGTCTTAATTCCAAGCAGATGTTTTTAAAATCAGAGGCATCAATTTTGCTCAAGGTGGTACCTCCCAATTTGTTACAACTACCAACAGCCTGAATGTCTAGCCAGAGCAACAGAATTGGAGAGCGCAAATTTAGGGACGGCTGGAAAAGCCAACTTGTTAAAGAAGTTCAGTTAAAGTAAGCTTTTGTTTACTGAAATGTCGTTTTCTCCTAAAAGGCAGAAGTGTGTGTGTGTGTGTGTGTGTGTAAGTAAATTTTTCCATGTTTTCCTTCATGTTGGAAAAATGAAAGTATACAAATTTGATCCTGCGAGCTCCAAGAACAAAGGTTGGATTTTATTCCCATCCAGAATTTTTTTCCCAAGTTAGGGATCTGTAGTTGAAGGACCACTCCAGGTTTTTATGCAGCATGTCAAGAGCCACACTCCAAAAAAAGCTGGGCTGGAGCCCATTTTGAGTGCAGGATCAGGTGTTTAAACACATGAAATGGATTCCTGGAATATCCACAAGGCTTAAGACATCCCTTAACCCTTGCCCTTGCCCTAAAAAAGGGTCACAGATCTTTGGCTCCACCTGCTCAGCAAAAAAACGGTGGAGGGCTACACACAATTCTGGACTGTACCTTTCATAGAATTTTGCCTAACAAATTTTGCCTTTTTAAAAAACAGCCCTCATTAAATAAGTAAATAAGAAACTTGTCTCCTAAGGGTGCCTCCTCGCCCTCCCCCACCCCCACTCTTCTGACAATAATCTATTTCATGTGACCAGCTAACTCATCCATAAGGCCTTCTGTTCAGGAATTCTGCAGGGCATCCTCTACAGTAAAAGCCCTGTTCTAGTGGATTTTTCATCCTCTGGTGCTTTTACAGCCTTGATTACATTATCCCAATTCCCCTTTTCTCTTCAAACATTTGCCTCTTTGTCTTGCTAAGATCCACACATCCTCCACCCTTCCCTGTCCATGCAGTTTGGGAACTGCACATCAATATTCAAAGCAGCAATGAGGTCATTTTTCCAAGGGCTTCTCCTCTCCTCCTCTTCACTATTCAGGAAACACACCAGGAATTGTTCTTGAGCTCCAGTAAGAGATCCCTCTCATGTGAAAGCTGGGGTTGAGTGGGGGAAGATTAATGAGAAAGCTGCCCACATAAGCAAGCTTCCATTGGCAGCTTATTAAAACTATGTTATTCTTTGTGCTCTCCAGCTGCATTGGTAGGAAATGGAAAAAGAGTTCTTACTTAGAGTGGCTTTGTAAAAATCAGTGATATGGCCATTTTAGGAAAATATCAGTGTTTAGCCATTATTAGGAAGATAAAGTAAAATCACTAAATGATGAGGATTTGTCATTTTAAATTGCTTTAGGCCAGGTGTGATTAGAATCAAGCCTGAAGATCCTGTCTCACCACCGCAGCATGTCCCTCTATCAGTGATAAAAATAAGTTCAGCTAATACCAATTTCAAACAGGTGAGGTACTACTTTTAAAGTGTTCTCTTCTGAATATTTTCCAGTAGACACATTCATATTTGACTCTTTGCACCCAGTAGAAAGAATTAAAGGCACTCTTTAAAAAAACCTAGTTGGGAATGATTGGATGTGAGAAATTGTTAGTCGACCTTCATCGTAACAAAATCCACATTAACTTTTAGCAAAGTTAATGTTGGTTTTATTTTAATGAAGCTAGACCGACTGTTACACCCTGGTTTCATTTCTATATCTTCCAAATAAGGTTCTTATAGTTAGTAAATTAAGGACGCTCTAAAGAAGTAGCAGGATGAACTAAAGAAGGATAATACTGATGATGTCATGCAACAGGGAGAAATTGAATTTTCTCAGGGGAACAGAATGAGACAATAAATCAAATTGCAGATAATCAAGTTCAGGAATGAGAAATGATGCAGAGCCCTCTTTACCACAATGCAAAGTGAAACCCATTTCTCAGATATCAGATTGTTAAGGAAGCATCTTTTTCCACCATCCGTTCCCATATATTGAGGAACTCTAAAGACTATAGACATTGTTTTGATTGATACTTTTAGCTTTCATAATATCTAAAGCAAACATTCATAATTTGTTAATATGCACTTTCAGAAAATAATAGTTTTATTTGAAAGCTTTTCTTACATGAATGTTTACAGATAATGTTAGATTTGCCTACAATATTTCAGACCAGACTGGAATACTGCTCATAGGTGTTACTAGGACTGGGTCCAAGTTTCTTCAGTTCTGAATCTACTTTGTGGGGCCTGAATGTCCACTAGACTAGTACCTACCTTAAGGTTATAAATTCATTGTTAGAGTTATTTTTTTCTTTAAAAAGTGGGGGTGGGGGAATTTCCAAGTGGTACAAGCGTGGTAGAACTTTTTCCCCACTCCTTCCTTCCTTCCTTCCTTTCTCTGGAGGTCTAATTTATTTTTAGAACAAAAGGTGGCAGATCTATTCACCTTGAAATTCTGTATGTGCAAATTATATACCCAGCACAAAAACTATAACACGAATCTTGTCAGTCTTGAAAAGGATGGGAATACTGCCAGGAGCATGCTACTGAATGCTACAAAAGCTTGTATGAAATTAAAAATGGCCTGGGAGTCCTATGGGAATGTAAAGATGAAGTAATATTTACTGAATGCATGGGAAGTGAATAATATGACATACATAATAATAAGATTTGTGTATGACATTTAATGTGTACTGAGTACTTCAAGTGTAGTAATGTATCCTGGCAATATTATTATTGCCATATACAATTGCTGCATAGGCCTGTTCCCATAGCTCAGAGTATTTCTTATAAAAGTAGATGTGAAAAGTTAATAAGTAAGTCAGGTATGATGATGTATCTTAGAAGAGCTTGATATCAGGCTGCGTGTGATGCCATTCCGAATAGGGCTTGTGGATAGAACAGCAAAGTGCCATTCAGCCAAAGGGCCCTCTAATATGGCAGTGTTAGCTTATCCCAAATATAGATAGATGGATGGATGGATGGTTGGATGGACGGACCGACAGACAGACAGACAGACAGACAATATAAGCCCAATGCCAAAATTATTCAGCTGCTGCATTGTCTCATTGTACACTCTGCATCAGCCAGGAATGCTTCCTGGATTGGCAAAGTATGTTACCAGCCAATTGGTGGAAAATGGGCTAAGCTATTGAGCCTTTTCTTTGTACAGTTGTAAACTAGATAGTTTAACTTAACACTATGTAGGTGGCAGCTTTATAGCTCAAGGAGAAGAGACTAGTGGAAGATTCATTGAATTTGTGATACTTTTTTAGGGCAATAATTTGACATTGGACTTTCCTATCCGCCAAAGATTGGCTTTTTCTAAGTTTAGGCCACAAAAGAGAACACGAGGGGACAGATGGGCTAAGGAAAAATTAAATCTAAACTTTCCCTGTCACCTTATTCCAAAGACCTCCCCCAATAAAAAGAAGTTTAGTGTTCAACAAAAAGAAAAACACTCTAATGTGGAGCAGTGAATTCTTATATCCATCCTGTTGATTTTCAGTTGGAATGTCCCAGATATTCTGGTGAGAATTTAAGATTTATTTGCCCAACATCTGAAATAATTTCATCAAATAATGATTTATTATTTAAGAACTACATATAATGAAAAAAATGTGTACTCAAATGTGTATTAGAATGTAGCTAGGGAAATATTGTGATCCTGGCTAATAGAAAAAAATACTTTTGTTTTTTTATAAGAAAGCAAGTTGCAAAACCTGTCCTATTTGTACAATAAATAGATGCAAGAGAATGAAATTAATTAAGACGACTTTGTAACTTTCGTTTTTCCAGGCCTCTTGCATTCATTAATTAGGATATCACAAAACTTGGTTTCCATGATTTTTGTGCATAGGTGTGGATTCTAATACCTGGACTAAGGTTACAGTTTTATTCAGGACAAGTACTGTAATAATAAGATAGATAGCTTGGATTATGAGGAAGATAAAACCCCAAATTCCTCTCCCCATAAATTAATTCACCCAAACAATCTAAAGAATCAAATGTCCAAATTAAAAGCAAATCTCTTTATCAAGTTATATAACTATTAAATTGTGATTTGCTTTTTAGGACTTGTTTTTATATTTTTCAGTGATCCATATTAATATTGACTAATAATTTAATGAGCTTGTGCCAGTACTGAGTTTTCAGTAAACCTTCACTACATATCCTGATCATTGGGTAATGTGTGATCTTGGCTTTTCATGTTGGGTTGCTCTTCTTCTTTTTTTATTGAGTTGACTTCACCCTACATAATTTCATATTGCTAATCTCAACAAATATCTAGGATACATTAGAAGAATAGTGATTGAACCCTTGCATTTTTAGAAACCCTAACATAAAAATATTAATCTGATGAGACAGGCAAGGCCTATCTCAAAAAGATTAATATCACATCTCTAACCTTGTCCAGTGATAGACCCTGGATAATCTTGTCTGTGCTGAAAAGCTAGGACAGATTTGGTATGATTTGGTGGAAAGGCCGCCAGAGAATTCCAGAGCCCTGGGAAAATTGAAAAATCACCCCGAAAAAAGCAGTGCAGTCAACTACTTCTGGATTATTGTTAAGGAGAACTATGTGGATATGTCCATGAAGTCACCAGGAGTTGAGTTGAACTTGAAGAAACTTTAAGCTTACCTATTATTAGATGTTTGTTTCTTATGAGTCACCTAGATATTAATGTGTTTTTACATAGGTCACTAGTGCACTGGTGCCTACCTTGCAAATTAAGAAAATTTACTTGATTAGGCCTCCTAGAGAAACAAGAAAAGTTAATCTTTTGAGACTTGTGACTCAATAATTAACAGGTTCCATAGCACTTTGACAGCCCACTGGCTGAATGGTTTGTGGCTGCAGCTGGATAAAATTCAGTTTTCTCCTCTGATGGTAATCTGAGGGTTTTGAGAGCTGGGTTGAGACCTGGGAGCCAAAGTGCTGTCAATGGATCAGGCACTAATAAGATGCGAGTGCTGATGATCCCCTCCATTGGCAAATATTGTCATTCTTACCATCTGCTGTCTTTTCAAACTGCTGGTTGCTTATACTGTCTGTGGCATCTCTGTTTTCCCTGTCATCTGTGAAATCAACAATAGCCACAGCGGGAGATTTCCTATGAGACAGGCTTACTTTGCCTCAGTTTCTAGAGGCAAGGTTTGGCATTTCTTCCAATCGCCAGATCCATCCAAAGTATGACAATATGAAAATGTGCTTCAAGATCAATCATGTTTGATGCAGTCTAAGCATGTATGCAGTGCTGGGATTCAACCGGTTCGGACTGCTCACCGAACTGGTTTTTTACACTGGTTGAATCGCACCACTGCATGTATGTTCAAAAACAAGTTCCATTGATTTAATGTCAAGTCAGTAAGAACCATATGTTTGGGACTATAACCTTAAGAATACCATAGTTCTTTGACAAAGCGATAAGATCATGAGTGAATTCAATTCAACATTTAACATTTCTGATACCCCTCTGGTTTCATGCTGTTATGTATCCCTTTTTGTTTTTAACATCTCTGCTTGTTCATTATCATTCCACATAACTGAGTACTTTACTTTTCACTTGTCCTTTATTTTTGAAATTTTATTCAGCTGGGAACAGAGCTAAAGCCTATTTTGTAGTTTTCTACTTTCTGTGAACAAGTCACATATTTGGTCCTCGGAATTTCATTTCTGTAACTTTATGCCAGAAATGTAACAGTGACAGTAAAATGCCTATGTAATCCACTGAGCAGTCTTTGTTTTTTTAATCACAAGATCCATTGTCATGGTAAAAATAACTACTTGGATTGTGCGAACAAACGTCTAGGATCTAAATTGACCCTTATAGCATTGACGTTACCGCTGAAACTTCTGAACTAAGCCAGTCTCCATGGTCACCAAAGAATCAGGATATAAATGAGATTAAATGCTTAATGAGGTTATGTTTCAATCACATGTATGGAATTATATTGATTACTTGCTCAGGAAAAGTATTTTGCTATGTTGAACCATGCAAATGGCATGTCATTGTGTGTGATCAGCCAATCTAGATGTAACACCCCATGGAAAAGAAATACGAAGCAGCTTGAAATGTAACATTATACTTTAGTAACAAATGATAGTACATTTATATGTGAAAGTTCAATGTTCTTTAGTCAAAATAAACTCTGTTTACAAAGTTAAGCCGCCTCTCTTATTTATACTCTTATTTTCTTGTCAATGTATTTGTTCCCTAATGTATAAATCTCTAGCTGCCATTAATAATAGTAAATGCTTGGTATGGGTCAAGAGCATCCATCTGCAGAGATAATGTTAAGTATTATCTTGGCAAGAATTACATTTTTTATTGCATGACTTTGGAAAAATACGTGCCCTCTGCCAATTGGCTTGTGAGTAAATAAAAGTATAGAAAGCAAGTCCTTTTGCAATGAACATGGACTAGGCACAGAAATACAGAAGAACATCGTTAATGGAAAATGAAATATGGACCATACAGAATAAGGAGAATACTTACATAGATAAGTAACAATGGTATGATTTGTTTCAACAGATTTCATTGAATTGACTTCTATAGTATCTTTTTAACTTAGAGAATAAATAATATCTTCATCTATATTAAAGTTTAATCCTCAACTTAGGTTCTCATCTAAAGTTTATAATAGCATTTTGGATTGTTCCCAAGGTAAGGGAATGAATGCATCTCATTTTTAGTTATATGCTTCAATGAAGTTATCAGTTCCCAGGATAGTTTCGGTCCTATTGAGAACTCACCTAGAATCAGTTCTGGTGTACTTTTGCTATGCAGTAGGCCAAAAAAGTCTCAACACAGTAAATCCCCTTAAAATTACCTTCCAGACATCACCACTTTTGAAGTTGGTATATTTGGAATTTTGAGAACATGTTATAGCCACTAGGCAGCTTTCTTATTCACCAAATGGCTGCCACAGATGAATACAATCATTTATGAAGTACTGATTTACAAGAATACTACCTGAAGCTAGTCCCCTGCTCCCACCGCATGATGCTCTCTACCACCCCCTTATCTTTGTCCTTTTTTCTAGGCAGCTGTGCACACTTCTAAGCAAAGTACTGTACTTCAGCCACTGATCATGTTTATGGTGAGGCCCAGAAGCATCTTGAAAATAAAGGTGATGTTAGATGTGTGTTGGGGGAGGGGTACTTTGAAGCAAGATGGTGTTCTGTCTCATGTAAAAAGATGGCTGGGATAGGAAGACTGATGGGTGGAAAGAAAAGTGTCTACTACCACGTTGGTACTTCTAGATATGACCCTTGAGTCCTCTATTTTGTCCTATGCAGTTTGGAAGCTTTTGTCAGTCTTACCACCCTAGAGACACTTGAATTATATGCCATATTAAATGTCCACTCTACTTTTTTCAAACTTTAGGGTTTGTGGAATTAACATGAATCATTACAAAAAGAACTTTAGGAAATGATGTCTCATAATTTCCTAATGGTCTGTCTGTCTCTGTCTCTCCCTCTTTCCCTCTCCCTCTCTCGCTCTCTCTCGGGTGTCAAACTGGCAGCCCATGGACCGGATGCGTCACACGCAGGCCATACACCCCAGCTCCTGAATGGGAAAACCATCATGAAACGTCACGTGACGGCAACATGACGTGGCGAGTTTGACACCCATGATCTATCTATATTAGATTATTGAGATTATAAAGTTAGGGTAGAGTATCTGAATTTAAAATCACAATTCTTAAAATTCTGTTTGTTTTGAACACTCCCAGTTCTGTTGCCTTCCACCTGGTTTTGTATATGGTAAAGATATAGAACGAAAAGCATAATGGAGATAAGGCAATCATATATAAAATATGTTGATATTGTATTTATCAGTTAAACCATTTAACTTATATTATTAGAATTTCAAGTATCATTCAGTAGGTAAAATTTGAATTGGTCTTTGGCTATTTAGAGTATCATTCTTCTATGACATTCAGAAATTAATATCTACAATCCCAAAACCATTTTTAAAATTATCTTAAAATTTTTGGAACAAGTATAAACAACATTTATCTCCAGGTCTTTCTCTTTTTTCTCCATCCCAAATCATCCTTATTTTCAGCATGAGGATAAATTTGTTCTAATCAAGGAATAGCATAGAAGATTTTATAGAATTAACTATTAAATTATTGATGGAAATTCTGGTAGCGATGAATATATTCTGCAAAAGATTTATCACAAGTTCTAGTGAGTCAAGTTCAATCCTTCTCTCATGAATTATTTATGTTTCATCAGTTCAGACTATCAGCAGCAGCTGAAGGGTGGTATACATCTACTTCACTGAAAAACAAGGGATTTTTTTCAATCTTATATTAATCATACCTCTTATATGAATCATAAGTCTTTAAGAATTTTAGGAAGGCAATCTAGAATCACTACTTGATGAATCTGATTGAAACTTTTGGCGGATAATGTGATACAAATTATCAAGCACTGAGCATGAAAGTGATATACGGGTGGCATTCCATTCTGTTAAAATTACAATTATGTAAGCTTTTTAATTTTGTTGGTACGGTTGCTAACTTTGTGATTAGGGACAATTATGTAGTTGCTTCAAATGAATGTTGCTAATGAACTATTGTTGAAATTAGATGATCATTCAACTGACTTTCACGGTGAATACTGTTGTTGGTTTATTGTACATTTTTCCCTAATAGATAAGAATTCATGCAGCCAAAGGAATTGATTCATTTTCCATTGCCAATACAAGGTTTCTTAGCTGATAAAACTGCAATGCACCTGATCAGTAACATATAAAAGTGTTAGTTAATTGCTTTGGCTGAAAAAAATGTAAACACTTCAGTAACCAATTATTAATTATATTGGCAATAATTTTTCCTAGAGAGATCACTGAGAAACTCCAGGGTGATAGGAAACAAAAACAATGCAGCATTCTTTGGTATTGCTGCGAAGCGTCCATATTATGACTAGGAGAGCAGCATCTTTCATCCTTCAAGTGATGGCATAAAGTCAGCTTTCAAGGCAAGTTTGGGTCGTGGTGATGTCACAGGCACACCTATCTAGTTTTACTGTATTATAAAGTGGTTTTCTTTCAGCTTCATGGTCTAGACCAGGGGTGTCAAACTCAATTTCATTGAGGGCTGCATCAGGGTTGTGTTTGACCTCAAGAGGGAGCATGGCCAGGGTACTCTTGGCCAGCTTGATGTCACTCATGTTGGCGCCTGTGGTGGCCAGAGCACTCTACCAGTGAAAACGGGCTTCTGAGGTCCATATTTGGCCATGACTGCCCCCTGCGACCCTCTGCCAACGTGGCCCTCCCAAGCTCCATTTTTGCCGGCAGAGGCACTGCGAACCAGTCCTTTGCTGTTTCCAGCATCGGCCAGATCTAAGCATCCTGTGGGCTGGATCTGGCCTGTGGGCCTTGAGTTTGACACCCCTGGCCTAGTCTGTAGCCTTAGGATTTCTTAGCATCTTTCATCTAAATCTATTGCCTTTGGCCCTGCTTAATTTTTAAATATGAATTGACTAGATATGGCCCCTTTGCTGGGCAATAGCATAATCTTCACTGACTGTTTTTGCCATTTTTTTTTTTTTGCAGAACAAAGGCTTGATTTGGTAAGCAAGCATGCTTCTGCTTGGCCCAGTCCAGGCAATCCCCACATTCAGCAGACTGCCTCATTTGAATTAGTGTAATATTTTTTTTTGAATAAAATTGCATAATAGTGGAGTGTAATCAAATTTAATCATGATATATATATCATTACCAACCACATTAGAAATCCAGATATCTGAAGATAAGAAAGGAATCATATGTGCAAATTTACATAGTGACATAGTAACAACACATGTAAAAATTGCAGAGCATTTTGATTACCACATTTTAAATAATAGTCCAAGGTGATTTGTTTTGGCTTAAAACATAATCTGAAATAGAGGATTTCTCATTCTGTGTTTAAAATAAAAACCCAAATTAAATGTTTTTCTTTGAAACAAAGTATTAATACAAAGGTTTGATTTCTCCTGGGAAAAAGAAACTAGAGAAAGGGTTATTGGTAACAGCCAATTATGTAGAAAAATACCTGGAAAAAAAACCTTCCTAAATAGAGGCTAGTTGTCAGTAATTCCTCTGACTGAGAGCATAACTTTAGCTATATAAAATCTGGCATTTAAAGAAAAGAGATTCTATGATAGATCAAAAGGCTTATCAGAAGGAGTGTATCCAACTAACTATTGTCTTCATTTTTTGAAAGTTACACAAATATTTACTGAGATTATATGTTGCCAAGTAAATTAGAGTTGGTCGTAGGCATTTACTACAAACTGCAGTGCCAAAACAACATGAAATCTATATTGTGACATCACAGCATAGTTCCCACAATATCACAATCCTGACCTTTTCCACTTGCATTCCAGGGGTGTTATCACAAAGCGTTCACACCCCTCGCCCCCTTTTCCCTACTAAATTTGTGAGAAATTGTAAAGTAATGATTTTTTCTCGTACATGAGAAATAGTTTGCACTGACTGATAAAAATAAAACCATTTTGCTTTGTAATGTTCCTCTGGAAGAACAACACTGGAGGTTCAAAATATTTTCAAATCCTTTTTGAAGTAGTCAGTTGTCCCATTTGGGATTGTTATTTATAAAAGTAAAAGTAAACTTGGCCATTTTAAAAAATAAATACAGAGAAAGCAATATAAAAAAGAAATTTAGAATATCCTATACCCACTTAATTAATAATCATAATACCAAAGCAAATGAAACAAAAATAATTAACTTGCTGAAATTATATGCACATTTAGTCCAGCCCTTTCCAGGAGCGGGAAAGGGTTAGGCTGAAAGACAGTACTGAAGCACTAATTACACCAGGAAGGAGTGTGAGAAGCTGGAGAAGTACCAGTGCTTGAAGGAAGAACTAGACAAGATGTGGTGCATAAAGGCTGGAGTGGTTCCAGTCGTGGTAGGAGCACTCAGCGCTGTGACTCCTAAGCCTAGAGAGTGGCTCCAACAATCCCAGGAACAACATCAGAGCTCTCTGTCCAGAAGAGAGCAGTACTAGGGAGAGTAAGATCCTGTGCGGAACCCTCAAACCCTCAGCTCTCTGGTAGGCGATACAAGATTGTAGAAGACAGACACATAGGGGTAAGAAGGGAATGGGTTTGTTTTAATTTAATTTATTTATATATGTTTGGTGCAGTGGTTAAGGCACTGCACTACACAAAATCGGGAGACCATGAGTTCTGATCCTGCCTTAGGCACAAAACCATCTGGGTGGCATTGGGCCCCAAAACATTAAGTATACACACTGTATATCAAATTGCCTATTAGATGTGTTTGTTCTTCTAAAATATGGAATGTATAAACAAAAGGAGGAAAACAAACATCTCATTTTCTGATTAGTAGGTTACAAATGGGGTCTTTGTCTCCCCATTTGGAGGAGGGGGGGGTCTTTTTGTCTGTGTCTACTGTCCCACCCCATGACTTCACTTTTCTAATCCTTTTTCTAAAGTCTTACCACATAGGAGTGGCATGCAGGGCTCCCTTCTTTAGATGGTAGAAGAAGTCTGATGGCTTGACTATAGCTGTCCAGCCTGCCATAACTTGTCCTTCCAAACAAAGCCCCAGGTTTTTCTGTCACTCAATCTGCCAGGCAAGAATAAGCAGTGGAGTCTAAGTAAGCCCCTTAAAACTCTTTGATAAGACAGTTGCCGCCTGGGACAGCTGAGAGATCTGAAGGGAGGTGGTGACCATGGTTGCATTTACACAGCTGTTGCCTTCTCGCCTCATCCCAGGGTTAACTAGCATTTTCATCCTGCTTTACTTTTGGATTTTCAGGAGGGATTTAATATCATTTATCTTAGGTAATCAAAGAGGAAATCATAGTCACCAACCCAAAGCTTTTCCAAATCCCTAGTTCCCCAGAAAAATGATATCTGTGAAATCAGGTCGTGGTGGGAAGTACTGTACATTGCCCAGCACTGATGTGCCAGAGGAAAGAGATAGAGAGTGTGAGGAGTAAGATTAGGATTGAGACAGCATGGCAAAGGTTACACAGAGGGCAGCACTAGTTTAAACATGGATTAGCAGGCAGACATATATTGAGCATGGACGTTTTGGAATGGGAAAGGTTT